GCTTCATCTATAAAATAGAGAGATTGGCTTCAGTGTTCCGTGAAACAGTGACTGTCAACAGTACTTAGGAGAGACTGAGCTCACTATAAATGGTGGTCAGCATCTACTCTTGGGCTTCTTTGGGACAGAAGAATCTTCCATGCAGCATAATGCATTAAAAGCCATAATACAAGGCATATGGGTCATTCAGGATTCTGCCCTTCACCCTGTCCTGGATCGACACGCATAACGAAAATTTATAATGGCGCATTCACAGTTTCTCCTATAGGTGCAAAACTTCACTCTGGGCTGTAGCCATAGGTCAGTGTCTGTCTTCAGTCCACTATTATGAAGGCCCACTTAATCTCCCTTCTCCTCTTGACCTCTCTGGAAAGAGACTTTTAATCTCTTTCCTTATTCCCTGGAAAATTCCCTTTAAGACCTTCATTGGGGAGCCACTGTGAAAAGCCCACCTTCTCGAGGTTGATAGAAGGTTCAGCCTGCTGCACCCAGAACAGGTCTCTAAGGGGAGGTAAGGGGAGGAAGTCCAGTGGCCTGGGTACCCTGGTCGGAGAACAAGTCAACAGACTTTTTTTTTTTTTTTTACATGGTGGACATAGTGGTTAAAGAATCCATCAGTATGTGTGTGTGACCAGGATAAATCTTGAAGAAATTGGAAATGAGTGTGAGTGTTTACTTTTCACCACGTGTTTTGAAAATACATAAGCAACTGTGCATAGAGTTTATGGATAGGTACACATGTGTAAGGAGTATCCAAAACATATCAGAATACTACACATCTGCGGCAGGGTATCTTCGGATGGGTGGAGGTGATGGGTTGGTTTCAAATGTACTTGTCAAACGTATTTTTTAAACATATTTTTGCCCTAACATTTAATAATAAAATGTTTCAATATTACACAAAGACTTTTAGAGTGAATACCCATCTATCCAGCATTTAGTTTCTACCACTAACACATTATTAACATATCTACCATCCGAGTGGGATCCATTCCCTCCCTCCTTCCCTCTCTTCCTTTCCTCTCCCTCCTTTCCTTTCTATTTTCTTTTCTTCATTTATGTATTTATTTTATTTATTGAGTTCCTAGGGGAACTTTTAGCCCCCCCCAAAGAAAGGTAGCATAAAACATAGCTGAATGGTCTAACATTTGATTAATCTCAGGGATGGATGCCTAGGTATCGTTAAGACTGATTATTAAGGCTTTCTGTATTTTTAAAAATGTTCTGTATTTGTAAAAGTCAGATAAAACGATTTGTACAAACCTGGGTAGAGAGGAGTTAATTTAACTGTTCTGCTTCTCTGGCATCAGATTGAAGGTATGACGTCCTGAGAATGTGACTAAGCGTCCTATTTAAGTCTGAATGTCTTTGGGAGGAAAGAAAAGGAAGTAGACAGAATCTTAACCTTTGAGAAAAACTTCAGATGTAAATACTGATGAAATTTCCAGAACAGAACATCAAAGGGGCCTTTGCTATAGCTTGGTGCTGCGGGTGCTTGTCCTGCTGAGCATCTCGCCTTCAAGGGCGGTTCTCAGTGCATTCACTGCGCAGGCTCCAGGAGGGCCGATCAAGTAGAGCCCCTGAGACCAGCTCCACCTGCTGCTGGATCAGCCTGGTTCTGGAAGACAAGTGTGCTTCCTCCACCTGCCCTGTCCTCCCGACCCGCTCCAGCCTCTGGAGACCTACACTGTGGAGAACACTGCAGGCATTCTTCCTGCGGTGCCAGGGTCCCAGAAGTCAGCATTGCAGGCGCTTCTGTGTGGGGGAGTTCTCTTTGGTTCCCCCCACCCTCCTCCTCCTCCTCTTCCTCCTCCTCCCCCTCCTCC